TTTATTTATCATCATTTTTATTCGCTTATTCATTGACGTTCATATACTTGCCATTATCATCATATCATTATCTATCATATCATATTTCATCATCATTATCATTATTCTTCTCATTCTCTCGTATTTTATCATTATATTCATTCATCATTATTTATCATTCATCATCATTATCATTCATTATATGTTATATCATTCTTCTTCTGATCTGCTTATCCTATATCACAATAACATTGTTATTAGTATTTGTTGTTACCATTCATATGTTGGTTGTTAATCATTTTATTTATTGTATCTTTGTTATCTTCTGTTGTTGTTGTCTCTCTTCTCTCTCTCTCTCTCTCTCCTCTCGCCTCTTCTCTATTCTCTCTCTCTCTCTCTCCTCTCTCTCTCTCCTCTCTCTCTCTCTCTCTCTCTCTCCTCTCTCTCTCTTCTCCTCTCTCTCTCTTCTCTCTCTCTCTCTCTCTCTCTCTCTCTCTCTCTCTCTCTCTCTCTCTCTCTCTCTCTCTCTCTCTCTCTCTCTCTCTCTCTCTCTCTCTCTCTCTCTCTCTCTCTCTCTCTCTCTCTCTCTCTCTCTCTCTCTCTCTCTCTTCTCTCTCTCTCTCTCTCTCTCTCCTCTCTCTTCTCTCTCTCTCTCTCTCTCTCTCTCTCTCTCTCTCTCTCTCTCTCTCTCTCTCTCTCTATCTATATATATATATATATATATATATATATATATATATATATATATAATATATATATATATATGTGTGTGTGTGTGTGTGTGTATATATATTATATATATATATATATATATATATATATTATATATATATATATATATATATATATATATATATATATATATATATATATATATATATATATATATATATATATAAATATGAAAGATGATGAAAAAAATACGAAGAAGAAGAAGAAGAAACAGAAGACGAAGAGGAAAAAGGAGAAGAAGAGGAAGAAGAAGAAAGAAAAACACGAAGAAGAAGAAGAAGAAGAAGATAAAGAAGAAGAAGAAGAAAAAACAAAAAACAGAACAGGGGGACGTAAGCGAGAAAGAAGCAAAGCCCGCAGACGCAGACAGAGGTGAGTGTGAAAGTTCAAATACACGAGACAGAACTTTCACAGAGGCAGCTTATCTGTATCGTCTTCCCTTTGAATTGTTCAGACTTGTTCACTGAGGTTCAAAGGAGATTATGAAGTGGAAGAATATCTTTGGATCAATATCTAGTTTTTTTTTTAAATATAATATCGAGCTATTATCTGTTTTTTTAATGGAAGAAATGGTATCAACAATAAGTATTTGTTGTTGTAAAATGAGGCTCGTTTTTTTAAATTGAAGAAATAAGTAAATGAACAAATAAGATAGACATACAAATGAATGATAAAAAAACAATAAAATACATATAATATTTATGTCGTGTTCATTTTCCATAGAAGGCCAATGCAAGTTTCAAAATGTTTCTCTACCATTTCAGAGGTCATTTTCAAACTTCAGAAAATCGTGTATATCTATAAAGAAAAAGTGTTCAGACTTTCATCACACTTTCAGCACTGTTCACCATCCCATACCATAGGACTCGCCCTTCAGTGTAATCCCTCCACACCACCAATTTCTCACTCTCTCCATCATCCACTTAGTCAACCTCCCCTCCTGCCTTTCCGCCACACCCTGGGGGCACTGGCACCCCTCCCTCCCTCTCTCCTTCCTCCCCCTCCCTTCCCTCCCTCTCTCCTTCCCTCTCTCCTTCCCTCCCTCCCTCCTTCCCTCCCCTCTTTCTTCCCTCCCCCTCCTCCCTCCCTCTCTCCCCTCCCTCCCTCCCTCTCTCATTCCCTCCCCTCCCTCCCTCCTCTCCCTTCCTCCCCCTCCTCCCCCGCCCTCCCTCTCTCCTTCCCTCCCCTCCCCCTTCCTTCCCTCCTTGCCCTTAATTCACCTCCTCCCCCTCCTCCCTTCCCTTCCCTATCCCCTTCTCCCCCCCCATCCCTTTCCACCACCCCCCCACCCCCTTTCTTACCTACACCAAGATACAATCACTTTCTGTCTCAAGAAGTTTGCCTATATCTGTAATGGAGAGTAGAAGAAGGAGATGGAGAAGAGAGATAGATAGATAGATGGGTAGATAGATAGATAGATTGATAGATAGATAGGTAGAAAGATACATAAATAGATAGACAGATAGAGAGAGAGAGAGGGAGGGGGAGACAGAGGGAGAGAATAAAAGAGGAAAAGGAAAAAATAAGGGAGAAATATTGAAGTTATTACTATTCATATAATGATAATAATAATAATAATGATAATAATAATGATGATAATTATAATGATAATCATAACAATGATAATAATAACTTATAATAACAATGATAATAATAACAGTTATAATAATAATGATAATAATGATAATGATACTACTACTACTACTACTACTACTAATAATAATAATAACGATAATAATAATAATAATAATAATAATAATAATAATAATAATAATAATAATAATAATAATAATAATAATAATAATAATAATAATAATAATAATTATGATAATAATAAAAATAATAATAATAATAATAAAAATGATGATAATAATAATGATTATGATAATGATAATGGTAATAGTAGTCATGATAATGATGATAATGATAACATTATAATGATAAAAGTAATAATGATAATAATGATATTAGAAATAATGGCAATAACAATGATAAAAATTATGATAATGATGATGCTGATAATGATAATGATATTTATATAAATAAAAATGACAATAAAAATGATAATAGCAATAATAATAATAATTATAATGATAATAGTGATAATGATAGTAATGATAATAACAGCAACAACTATAGTAATGATAGTGATGATAGTAGTGAAAATAATGATAATAGTAATGATAATCATGATAATACTAATAATAACAACAACAATAATAACAATAATAATAATGATAATAATAATGATAATAATAATAATAATAATAATAATAATAATAATAATAATAATAATAATAATAATGTTAATAATAATAATGATAATGATGATGATAATTACGATAATGATAATAAAACCAATAACAAAAATAATAATGATAATAGTAGTAATAGTAATAATAATAATGATAATAATAATAATAATGATAATGATAATAATAATGATAATAATGATAATGATAATAGTAATAATAATAATGATAATATTAATAATAATAATAATAACGATAATGATAATATTATTAATAATAGTAATAATAATAATAATAACAATAATAATAATAATAATAATAATAATAATAATAATAATAATAATAATAACAATAACAGTAATGATAATAATGATAATAATAATAATAATAATAATAATAATAATAATAATAATGATAATAATGATAATAATGATAATGATAACAACAATAATGATAATAATGATGATAATAAAGATAACGATAACGATAAAAAAAATCATAACTATGATAATGATAATGATGATCATAATGATAATAGCAAAAGTGATAACAATGATGACATTAACAATAATGATAATGATAATGACAATATTAATGTTAACCATAATGAAGATGATAATAAAAGGAATAATGGTAATAATGATAATGATAGAAGAATGACATAATGATAATAGTAAAAGAATGATGATGATAATGGCGAAAAATATGTAGATAATAACAATAATGAATAATGGGATTATAATAATGATGATAGAAATAATAATAATGGCAAAGGTATTAATAACAATAGCAATAATAATCATGATAACAATAGTAATGATGATGATTATAATAGCGATAATAATGATGATGATAATAGTAATACTAACAATAATGGTAATAATGATAAAAGGTATAATAATAAGAAAAATTATAATGATGATGAAATACAAAGTTAATAATAGTGCTACTACGAATTATAATGATGATAATAATAATGATAGTACTGCTACTACTACTAATAATAATAACAATGCTATTGATAATAATAACAAAAATAATGATTATAGTAATAATAATGATAATGATAATAATAATAAATATAGTCAAAATAACAGTAATAATAATAATAATGATAATAATAATAGCAACAACAATTTTAATAATAATAATAATAGCAACAACAACAACAACAACAACAACAACAACAACAATAATAATAATAATAATAATAAGAATAATAATAACAGATTTGGCAAACAAACAAACGACCCATTTGAACGAAGCCAAACGACAGCCATCGAAACGCGCTCAGCGACGGCATTGGGACGGGGGGGGGGGGGGAGAACGGAATCGAAGGTAGAAGGTAGAGCAAAGAGGGAGGGAGGAGGAGGAGGGAGGAGGAAGGGAGGAGGAGGAGGAGGAGGGGAGGGAAGGCGTATAGGAAAGGGGAGTGAGGAGGAGGAGGAGGAAGGAGGAAGGCCCTTACGAAAGAGGAGTGGGGAAGAATGAGGAGGAGGAGGAAGAGGGAGAGGAAAGGCCCATACGAAAGGGGAAAAGGAAGAGGAGTAAGGAGGAGAAGCAAGGAGGATGGATGAAAGGGAGAAGCCGTAGGAGGTGGTGAGAACTTAAGGGAAGAGGAGGAGGAAGAGGAGGAGGAGAGAAGAACACAACAGTTGGTTGAAGAAAGGGAAAACAATGTAGAATAAGGTATAGAAGAAGGAGAAGGAGGAGGATAAAGGAAGGAAGAGGGAGAAGAAAGAGATGAACAGACGGCAGAAGGAAAAGGAGAAGGGAGAGCAAGCAAGAACGAACGAAAAAAAAAAGGAACAACAGAAGCAGGAGGAAGAATCAG